CACATCTATAAATTCTTGACAAAATCCCCTAGACCAGCAGTCCCAACTTTTCGATACCAGGGAATGCTTTCATGGAAGACAATTTTTCTACAGAGCAAGGCTGAGGGGTGGGGAAGATGGTTATGGGAGGATTTTCAACCACACCACTCTCAACCTCAGATCACCAGGCCTCGTTTGCTCAGGAGGACCGTGCAGCCCAGACCCTCACATGGACAGCTATAGCAGGGTTCCTGTTCCTGCTGATCTGATGGGAGGTGGGGCTCAGGCAGTGACACAGGTGATGGGGCAGCTATGGATCCAGAGGAAGCTTCTGCTCACCTGCCCACCAGTCACTTCCTGCTGTGTAGCCCGGGTCCCAGCAGGCCAGGGACCCACAGCCCTAGACGGTTTTTGTCTGTGGGGAGAACTAACTTTCGTTCAGTACTGACTACTTGGCATCATTACGTGGTGTCTCAGTGGATTCTCTTTATCATAACTGAGACATAAGTAGACTGGTATTACCCTTTCTTTACACATGAGAAACACTTTCAGATGAGTCCGTTTGTCCACAAGCACAGAGCAGCGAGTGAGCAGCGATGGCCTATCCTGAGTCAGGTCAAGGAGGGTGCAAAGTGGCCCCACTCTGCAGCACCTGAGCACGTCACATGCTGGAGGTTTTATTAGTACTTTGTATTCCTATGTTGAGTTATTAGATGTAAGACTTGTCTTGTTCATTTTTAAATCTCTAATACTTAGTACCTGGTAATAGAGATGCTTAAAAAATACACTCAATAACTGAGGAGAGAAGGTACAGTTCTGGTTAGGTGAGCAGGGAGGGGTAGAAAGCAGAGTCACAAACGTCAGGGAAGAAAGGTCTGTAAGAAGAAAAGGGCAGTAGCACGCTAAAGGGCAGACAGAGAATTTAAAAGGGCTCAGGATCTGAAGGTTCCGTCTTCTGTAAGGTGAAGAAACCAGTTTCTGCAGAGCCACACAGAGAACAGGGGACACTCAGCAGGTCGGGGTGAGTGAGAGGCGGCCAGGCAAGGCCCCAAGCTGCTGCCAAGCGCTGGGAGTAAAGAAAACCCAGAAGAGGACTACAACTTGAGTAGGCAGCCCTGTGAGGAGAAAGCTCCTGTAGAATAAAAGGCAAAGATGCTGAAAGGAAAATGAAAGGGTCACCAATAAAGAAAGGCAGGGAGAGAAAAGGTTTCCACAAAGACAAGGACGAGTGGTGGACACAGAAAGGCCTCCTCCCGCGGGAGTCTGGGTACCCAGTAAGCAGAAGGCACAGCCACACACTCGCTTCATCTTTCCAGATAAAGAGGAAAACGAGAAATAAGCCAAGAGGAATGGGACCTAGTCAACAAGAAATAAATCTGAAACTGGCTTTCCGTGCACTAAGGAATTGGCTCAAAAAGACAACACGCGTGATCAGTTTAGTGAAGAGGTGAATTCTCCTCACACGCTTGTCAGGGGAAAGTCACTACAAATGACAGAGATTGCATTTTCTACCTATCCCAATATAATGATAATATATCACTTAGGATAATTCAATAATACCGTCGTCATCCCCTGAAAGTGTACAAATGGAGAGAAAGGTACCTTGACGATGTGCTGGAGCACCTTCTCGGCCACCACCGCTTTGTGACAGGCTGTCTTTTGGTACAAATCCACAACTACTTCTAAAGACCTTTCAGCGAACGGCACATAATTCAAGGCTACCCACTCGGCCTAGAAAGTAACATTTTCACATAAAGTTAAAAATAAATGGGAATAAATAAAATCATATTGTTTTCAAAAAGAAAGCATCTCTGTCTTAAAGTTTAGGCCTCCACTTCAGGTCAAAGTACATCACATGCAAAATCTTCAAAGAGTATGTACTTCATGAAAAAGTAATTTTCAGCCAAGCAAAAATGAAAACTATTGAAAAAACACATAAAGCATTTTATCAAGTACTGAGAAAGTCGTACTTTATTTGTTGCCAATAGGTAAGGACAATTTGAGGAAATTTAACTCACCGGTGCAAATAGTTGGATCTATTGTGATTCCATTGTGTTGGAAGACAAATAGAATGAGAAAAGTTAATACATATTAAAACTACTTTTTGGACGATATAAAATTGTAATTTTTATGTTGCGTTAACAAAACCAGCATGTGCATGCATTCAGAAATTTACTTTTCCCCTAAGTCAAAACAAAGTTAATATTTGCCAACTATGAAAGCAAAAATCTTTTAAGTAAAATCCAACTAAATTTCACACCAGTAGTGGACAATTTCTAATTTAGCACACACAGATTTCTTCATCTTCCATTACAGGTTATCTTTTAAATGAGATTAGACCTAGGGAGTTCAAAGCCACTTTATAAGGGGACAGGGCACCCGAGAAAGTGGTACAAAGGACTGACACTTTTCAAGAAAGATATACTGCAGAGAGTAATAGGAAAGGCCACACTCCCCGAAGAACTAGCTGGAAGAGGAAAAGTCATAAACAAGAGAAAAGGAACAGAGAAATGGTTTCCCAAATAATGTGTCTGTTCAGCTTACAC